GTGTACATTAATGAGGAAAAAAAATTAACTTAAATGATTTTAGCAAATGGCTGCAATATAACAAAGAGTGAAAAATTGAAGGGGTCTGAATACTTTCCGTACCCACTGTATATATGTATACACATACATATACATATATTACTTTATTATACTTTATTTCAGTTAGTTGCCAAGGCAGCATTTAAAGTTTTAAAGTTTAAGAATTTTGTCTAATAATTAAATTTTATTTTAGCTTTACTTCAATTAATGAAGTAATAATAGTTTTAGATTTTGTTAACAATAACAATACCGAAATAACTACTGCCATGAACAAAAAAATGTACAAACATTTCTCTCTTAAACAAATCCAATTTACCACTTTTTTGCAGGCAGCAATAGCACAATGCTAGTTACGCCAGGCAGATAATGAAAAGTTCTGTGAATCGAAGGTGCAAATTATTAAAAATGTACATGGAAAGTGGACATGTTTGCGAGGAAAGAGCTATTTTAGCATTTCAAGTACCTGGTTCAACTGTACTGCTGCTATTAGAGAATAAGACTGAAGTTTTTTGCACTAAAATAAGGCACACCGTTTAGTGAATTTGCTCCATAGTGCTTCATTTTCAAAACTGCTCTTTAAAAGGTCAACGTATTTATTTATTTATTGTTATTTTAATGCCATTCTAACGCCAGTCTGAGTGAAAGTATCTTTCATTGCTAGCTTTTAAAAACCTTAACGTCTCTGTTATGTCTCACTGCCACAAAAACACAGAAGTCTTTTATGCTAGCAGAAATTGCCGCCTAAAGCTATCAGACAGACAAGGTGTGAACAATGACATAGCATACGTGCAGCACAGAGCCTTAGGCTGCACTCTACAGTACACACTCCGAACACAAGTCTTTTAGTGGGGGTGAAGCACACTGTTATGAAGGTAAACTAGGCTGAACACACACTACTTTAGCACGAAAACAACAAGCTACAGTTAATTCATTTGAGACATCAAATGCTGATTGGTGGGAACCTGTTGCAGCATGCTAAAGTATTCTCTGTAAGGAACACCAAATTACCGTCCTCACTTGTTCAAGTTACAGCTTTGTCTTGTGTGCAGGTCATAATTATATCAGTTAGAAATATGATATGTAATGCCGTGTGCTGTCTTCCATATTTAAAGCATTCTAAAACCGCTTTCAGCTCTACTGTTTTTCCACAAGCCTAAACAACTTTGTTGTTTTGATGTTTCTGTGATTCATCAGAATACGGTTTAGTCATTTAGTAGGAATGCAGATCAAGGCAATGCTCAAGCAGATTGCCAATTATATAGGGCTATTACATAATGCACATTATACAGTATTAAAATAGGACATCTCTTGTGAGAAATAGTGGGGTGTTTGCTTGAAAAGCCTACCATGATTATATCTCCTGCCCGGATGTTGAGTGCAGTGGGGTCATGAAGATTCCAGTAGTCCTTCAAAGCTCTCACCTGTAATGCTCCACTGGCATCTGATGTCATAAGCCAGGACAATGAATGCATGAAAGAATGAGAATGAGAGAGAAAGAAACACAGTTTGCCTTGAAAATACTCAAGTTATCCACTATGGGTTTTACCAATCTTTAAGGTCCTCATATTGACTGAAAACCTAAGAATTCAATACGCAGGTGGGATTTGTTGCAATAAAGACGTGTAATAAGCAGAATTTAAAGAGGAGTAATGTAGTGTTGAAATACTCTAAAGAACTTAGCAAATCTCCTGAAAATTTAATGAGGAGCTGAGTTCAGAACAGGGATGCTAAACACCCCTCATCTTCAAACACAGCTCCTTCAGCCGTTTTAGTGCTCGTTTCAAAGTGCACACTTCAAAGACAACAAGCTGCTGGATTACAGGAGGCATAGTAGAAGGGCGCAGCTACTTAACACATCCAGACGTACACCTAGACCCAGACACGCAAACACGTAAACAAAACTTTTACCTAAATCTCCAGGCATGGCTGCCATTGCTATGCCCCAGGACAGTAATGTTCTGCAACTCTATAGCTTTATAACAAAAGCTATGAAAGCAGGTTCCCAGAAACGAACACACAACACTAAACACACTCCAGACAACTATTGTCTACATCCAGTCTAAGCTAACAATGAACAAAAGCTCATAGCCTGACATCAAAGGTACATCAACGAAAGAAAGAAAGAAAGAAAGAAAGAAAGAAAGAAAGAAAGAACAGGATTTCTAGATTGAGTCACCTCTAAGGAGTTGTTTGATTTCTTTGCTGGCATGTGAAGTGGTGAACTGGTTCACAATGTCCAAGGCTGTTTGATTGTAGGTGTTGCGGATGTTCACATCAATCCCAGCCTAAATGTCAGATGGTGAAGGGTTGGATTGATATATGAGGGTTAGTTCAGGTAAGAAAATAAATCACTGCGATCTGATATGACAGACAGACTCAAGCACTTTACTCTGGTAAAGACTATAATTACTATAATTCACAGTATTTTTTCTTGATAATAAATCTGACATGAGTTCATTAGAAATAAATCATGTATCCCTACAGTACATCTTGTGTAGGTACAGAAAATACACACATAAAAACATCAACACTGTTCCCAATATTTTGTATCTACCTACTTACATCAAGCAATAATTTTACTACTTCCGTTTTCCCGTAGAGGGCAGCCTCATGCAGAGCCGTTCCAGATTTAGTGGTTCTGTTGATGTCAATCCCAGCTTTTAGCAGCAGTCTAAAAATGAGTGATAGACCACAGTGACACATGAGCCATGCTGTCCACAAGACACGAACAAAATCACTTGTGTCTTTAATAAACGGTATAGTCAGCTGCTCATTACCACAACATTCACCCTGACACGCTTATCAGGTCTTATACTGAAAAATATCCCTTATTAAATGGCTACTTACCAAATTAATTAATAAATAGATATTGATTCCAGTTGAAATTACATGTGAGAAGAAACAGGCTGTAAAAAGATATAATATGAGAAATATGAAACTAGCACAACTACGTAGAAAATATTCTGTTATGCCTCCAGCAATACAACAACAAAACCAAAATCAGCATGAAAAATTGCATAGTGAGTGGGCAGCACTGAAACCACATGATGATGGTAAGTACAAGACCACCAGCAAGGGGTCAAAAGTCATGACAATTTAAAGCCTTAGAGGAACAAAAACAGCCTCTGCATCAATAAATTTTACATTGTGAGTGTCTCTTCAGGATTCAGTATCCAAAGCAGCAGTGCAGGCTACATTTCCATTTGCCTGTAAATGATTAATTCAGTCAACTGAACGGATTAAAAGCATGCCTTCCCTTTTTAAAAGAGATCATCCAAAGTGTTCACCCAAAAATTATACTTCTGTCACCATTTACTGACCTTCATGTTCCAAATCCATAAGATTTTTGACTAATCTGCTGCTCTTTCCCATATAATTAAAGTCAATAGGGACTGGGGTTACAACATAAAAGTAACATTAAAAGTAGTCCATGCGACTTGTGCACTACATTCCTTCTGAAGCTATATGAAAGCTCTGTATGAGGAAAGGAACAAATGTTACAAGCTGCAACTCTCATATCAAATATGGTGGCACTGACATCACGTCATCAAGATGTGAGAACCTATGATGTCTGCTGTTGACACATCATTTTTGTATATGTATGACTTTTGTAGTTCATTTTAGAACTTTTCAGTGAATAACAGTTTGGAATATTGGAATTTGGAATATTGGTCCATACCAGTGGTGGGCCGTCAGGGCCAGCAAAGCCTTCTCTGCTGGCCTAAACACTGTCAGAATCACTGATTTAGTTTTAATATATTTTTCCATGAATGTGTATTAAATTATTTCCAATAGTCTATTCTCTTCAGTTCATAGCTTTTCTCTTGGTTGCACTGCTTCCAGCAGTGTATGTTTATATTAGAGCTTTTATTTTCTTCATCGTCTTGTATGAATTATTTGAATGTTACTTGCTCATTTTCCTAGTAAAGCTGTGCTAACCAGTAATTTCCTCCCGCAGTGCGCTGGCAGACCGTCGGGGAGACTCGTGAAGACAAAATAAAGCAGTAAGAGAACATTAAATTGTTAGGTCAACTTTAAAACACATGTAATCACCTTATTTGTTTTATACCAATGCTATCTGTAAGGTATAAATGTGTTTGGGTGAATAAATGTCTGTAAGAACATCGGATGGACTGTATTTGTGTCATTTTGTTAGGTTAATGCTTCAGCTACAGATGATGTGTTGCGCAATTGTTAATTGGGTTTCTTTCTTTAGTAATGGCATTCATTCTCGCTACATAAGATACCTGTCTGTTATGTAGTGCCCTGTTATACTGCATTACTGTGTAATATTTATGGTTTCTATAGCCGTGGCATCATTATGATGGTATGAAGAGATGGATTAATTCATGTAGGACGCCACTGAAGGCCTAGGTGTAAAATGCACGGCCCGCCACTGGTCCATACAATATATGTTGTATGGACCCATTTTATGGTGGCTTTTTGGTACATTTTGGAGCTTTACAACCCCCTTTACCTTCCATTAAATGGGTAAGAGTGACTAGTATATTATTTAAAACTTCTACTTTTGTGTCCCACTAAAAAAAATCATACAGGTCATACAGGTTTGAAACAACATACAGGTCTGAAACAACATGAGGGTGAGTAAATGATGACAGAATTTTGCGCAAACTATCAGTCAGTAGTGAATTTGACAGTAATAATAATTATTCATCTCAACAAAAAGACAATAATTGAAACAGTTCATTGATTTCTTGCTAAATTCTGCATGAACTCATTCAGTTTTAATAATTTAAAGGGTTAGTTCACCCCAAAATGAAAATGATGTCATTAATTACTCACCCTCATGTCGTTCCAAACCCGTAAGACCTCCATTCATCTTCGGAACACAAATTAAGATATTTTTGATGGAATCTGACAGCTCTCTGACCCTCCATAGACAGCAATGCAACTGAAATGTTCCCAGGTCCAGAAACGTAGCAAGGACATCGATAAAACAGTCCATGTGACATCAGTGGCTCAACTTCAATTTTGTGAAGCTACGAGAATACTTTTTGTGCGCAAAGAAAACAAAAATGATGGCTTTATTCAACAATTCTTCTCCCCGAGTTACTGTCTTCCTCCATTTTGGAGAGTATCACAATGCATATGCACGTTTTTACCCTAAGTGTAAACAATGCTGATTACGCCGATTACGTTCATGCGCGTGCTTTACCCTACTAACGTAAACAACGCTGATTACGTTCTTGGGTACTCTCCAAAATGGCAGAAGACGTAACTCGGGGGAGAAGAATTGTTAAATAAATTATGTAATTTTTGTTTTCTTTTCGCATAAAAATTATTCTCGTAGCTTCGCAAAATTGAAGTTGAGCCACTGATGTCACATGGACTGTTTTATCGATGTCCTTGCTACGTTTCTGGACCTGGGAACATTTCAGTTGCGTTGCTGTCTATGGGAGTGTCAGAGAGCTCTCAAGATTCCATCAAAAATATCTTAATTTGTGTTCCGAAGATGAACAGAGGTCTTACGGGTTTTGAACGACATGAGGGTGAGTAATTAATGACTGAATTTTCATTTTGGGGTGAACTAACCCTTTAATGCTTTATACTAAGAAGCGTAGAGTGGTCTCCTGTTACCACTGTCCTTTCCCATGTTTACAAGTCCCAGCATTCCAGAAAGGCAGTGGAGGGGAGAGCTGCAGCGTGAACTTTCATATATGGTTACTGCTAGAGGAGCATTTTGAGCAGCTGACTGGCTGGTGTAACCCTATTCGGCCTCATTCCTATGCATGTTACCATCACAGCCCTCTCATTACACTCAGAGGGGAGGGCAGCCCAGGTCAACACATGCACACTACGCTCATTCCACAACCTCTTCTCTTCACCTCACTTGCTCGACAACGATGTCAACAAAGCGCCCAGCCAAAGTCTGCCTGACAGTCAGCTTGACACCATACTACTTTGCAAAAAAGAAAGACAACCTCCCAACAGCATGCTTGCATGCATGCATGTAAACATACATATTCTCTCACTCTTATTGCTGCCTATAGAGGTTGCATGTTAAGGCATAATAGGTGTGCTCCTGATCAAAACATAGATAACTTATTTACATGTATGTAGTTTTTGGCCAAATTTTAAGACAGCACTGTATGTATTTGTTGTGGATAAGGCAATCCTATTATGCACTGTAATAAGCTTAGTTATGGTTCACACTCATTCAGTTTCATACATTCGTACTGTTTTATTTTAGGAACCCAATTTGAATATAATAATATTTAAAATAACAAAAATTGCAATAATAATAAAGATATATATATATATATATATATATATATATATATATACATATATAAT